CTGAGCATGAATTGGCGATATGAAATCTGAGGGTTTCAAGGCGGTGAAGCTCTGCATTTTTGTGTTCTGGCTTCTGATTCTGTGTAATCTTGTGAGTGGTAACCAACGTTCCACCGAATGCGCTGTGTTGCCACCCACAAAATAGTAATACTAACTATCAAACTAGATGGCTTAGGGAACTCGAAGGTTCGTCACCGAACTAACCAAATCCCTCCACCGGCCCCTGTCCTGGGCCAACAAAATCCAGTCTTCTTCAACTCCTATCTCCCATGGATCCCGCTTGAGATTATCCTCCCGTCTACGTCTAGGTCTCCCCAGCGGTAAAATGGTAATACTCTGTGAATAAACCCTAGATCTCCCGATTACAATCCGAGCTGGTTAATGCGGCGGCAACGCTGTGAAGTTGTATTCTGAAGGTATCCGGTTCGAATCTGTGCCATGTGGCATACTATATATACTGAATACGTACAGATTTTGTGGTTTATCCTTACTATTTTCAAGCGGATGTCGGCATAGTAAATTAAAATAGAAATAATCTCCTTCCATATCCTTACGTGCTCAAACTTAATTATAATTTTCTCCCACGCTATATGACAGTAATATTTACAGATGAATCAGCGTCATCAAATCATCCAAGAATCAATCAGTCGGGGACATTAAATATAGTTGACATTTTGGTTGCTGGAAAGTTACGTGATTCGATCTGTTTCTGTATGTGTCGCCTAACTGTCGCCCCTCATTCTGAGTCTCCTTGGATATGCAATGCGCAAAAAACTTTTATCTTTGTTTCAAAGTCATTGGAGGATAAATATCCCTTATAAAGTTTCAAATTCGTTATAAATTAACCTGCTCTGCGTTGGGGACAGTAACAGTCACATTTAAATGAACGATATTTTAAAATTCAAATTTGTCGCACTTTTATGAACACACAAAGTAGAATAATTTCAGAAAAAGAGAGAAACGTAGAATATAGTGACTGCAAAATTCGTTGAATACATTACATTTAAACAAGAAGTTCTGTGAGGAGGTTTTGTCGTCTACTTTCCTTTCAAGGTTTCAGTCTGTAGTTGTATGTCAAGCTGAGAATAATCATAAGTTTTTTTAGGCTGAACTTGAAAATCCACACGGCGTCACAACCCAGAACAACAGCAGCATCGTCATCTTGACCGCCATGAGAAACGTAAATCTCGTCAATTAGTTATTTAAATCAGAAGCCAAATTTAGGTTTCATGTTCTTATTTTACTCGTACATTTACAAAAATTACCCAAACAAAATCTGCATGTTTTTGTAACATGTATTACGACACTGGCCACGCGGTCTGAGGCATGGACCTCGTGCGCCTGGCCGCTGGGACCTGGGGTTCGAGTCCCACTTAAGGTATGGATGATTCTCCGCGTCTTTCTGTGTTTGTATAGGTAGAGGCCTTGCGTCGGGCTGATCACTCATCCAAGGAGTCGTGCCATTGTCCAAACAGATCAAGAAAATGATTAAATAAACCTCGACACCTACGGGTAAAAGAGGATAAAGAGAAAGAAGAAGAAGAAGTATTACGACACAACATTCAAGGACCCTGTACTTAGTGGCGCTAGTGTCGTGTCCAGCTGAAAGTTCCGTACAACTGCGATGTTGAATTACGGAGGTCAAGGAATTAGTATGTGTTTAAGCATGGCGGTCTCATGTGGCGTGATTATCTTGGAGATTTTCAAGAGATTCTGTCACCTGATTAAAAATTTACTAGGGGTACACACACACGGACACCCGGGCATGATCATAGCATAAAGCTGAGCTAAGAGTCATTAAAATGTATTGTTCGTCGTACTGATTGTGTGGGAATGCTAGGTTGTCTGAAAAGACGTCATGAATTACGTTTCGCCTCTTAAAAATTTGACACTTTGATTGCCCAGACGCGTCCCATAGAGAGATTTGGGGTTCACATCAGGTTCTCATCGGTCGTGCAGGACAGAACTTCAAATTCAACAATTTTAAGCGACTTCTGTCTTACGTCAGACATGTCCCAAACCTGATTACGTCACTGCTGATCGTAAAACAACTGGTTGCCAAAATGAATCGAGTATACTATTCAGGTAAACAGGCAGTGAGTGAGCTGGTCGCATTTGTTGCGACATTCTTTGGGCGTCCAGAAGCAGTGGGACAACGGATTCGAACCCCGGTTGGAGCATGGGACATGGATGCGTGAGTTTTTATCGCCGCTTGTCATCTCATTTGTCGTCATAATTTGCCGACCGCCCCGAATTTGGGTTTTTTTCATGGCCTAACCCTAATGAATTTTAACTACTGCTGAAGAATCCTGTAAAAGGAACAAACTAACGAAACTACATTGAAAGAAAGAGAGACAGATGCAAGTTGATGGTTGGATACGAAGGTAAACAAGTATGTGTTGTTTTTAATGAAATACGTTGTTTTTATTAATACGATGGGGCGAGACTATGCAGCCGTGTCGTCCATCTAGCTGTACTTAGTCTACCACAGTTACCACGTGGTTGGTTCCGGGAGCGACCTCGGACCTACGCTGTGAGAAACCTGCGAAAGACCGCCTGTGCCGTGGCACAGCCTTCTATATGTATAAATCATGGAGACAAAGTTTACTACATCTGTGGATTTTCCCGCAGTCGCATCTTTTCCAGCATTAGCACTGCCATTAGGCGCCCAGGAGTGAGGTGTGGGAGGGAGGGCAAGCAGAACGTGTGGCCACTTTAACGCGAATTGTGTGTGACTCGAGAGGTAGAAGCTACCATAATCACTTATATAAGGATCTTTTCGCCTTCACCTTTGATCCTGAATCTCACTTTTAGGAGTTCAGAACAGCGTTCTCTTTTCTGTCATCTGTTTGTATCGTCTTAAGGGGATCGTGCAGTGGAAGTGAATAGTCCAAAGATTAGCGAACGGCTCGTGATGGGTGGGACGTGTGACCCTGGACAGGCTTATTTCGCAATTAAGCTGGGAATTATGCAATATCTTTTGAAACATACGCAACTCAAGGCAAACAGATTTCATTACTGGTTTATTGTGTGTTATCTCCGAAACTACTTAATGGATTTAGGTGAAATTTGGTACTGGGATACTGCATTAATGTTATTGTACTTGATTTTGATGTAGGTCTTTTTCAGCCCTTCTTTACATACTCCTGAAACATAACTTTGTGTATTAATTTCTTTCTTTCGAATCATGAAACTGTCAATCGTATACCGAACATTTTTACACGGCATAAAACAGCCCTAAAACTAAAATCTGTAACTTTTGTTTCAAACATTTTTGATATTATAAGTGGTACTAGGAAATATATAATCTGCAATGCATTTTTTGTGGTGCAGCCGGAACACCTTATTGGAAGAAGTAATTTGATAAATCCATCAGTAGATGTAGTATTATTACAAATACAGGGGAACTAGTGTGTGAGGTTGCGGACTGGATTCGGCTGGCTCAAAGTATGAATCTTCGGGTTTGATTGAAGTAGATAATTTCTTTTCCGCTTTTGTAACTAAATGTTTTAAGAAAGAGCCTGCATAATAACGTTAGTTATTTTCAAATTGCTCAACACAAGTCATGTTAATGTTGTAGTTATTCTGCTTTAAAGTTAGCAGCTCTGAAGTAATGCGATGCGAGCGCTACCTGTTGATCCTTTTCCTAAACTTGTTTTATACTATATATCGTATATCTCTTTCTCTCTTTGAAGGAGGTCCCTTAACGCGTTGCTGTATCTCCCCACCGATCGAAAGTATGACGATCGTCGGCGTGTCTGTCTGTCTATCTGCCCGTCTGTCAGGTTGGCTAGCTCCATTCGTCGTTTCTCTCAGTGTTACACATCTTGGTTTGTGGTTAGGTTGTGCGTGTATGTGTGCCGGAGGAATCAAACCGGTCACTTTCTGCAGTGACACACAATTATAGTATGGTCGTTCCATGTGTACTAATTTTATTTGTTGTTAACTTTCTCATGCGGGATCGCTGAAGTAAAAAGAGAAGATTCATGAAAAGTACGAAGAAATTGTAATACTGTGCTTATTACATGTGGCAGTAATGAGAACAAATACTGTAAAGTGAAATTCGGCAATGATTAATTACGTTTGAGATACATGTGCTATTCTTTTAAAAACAAATTAAGGAAAACATTGCACGAAACAATTTAAGGCAGTCTGTTTAGAATATTTTTTATTACTTTAGGGATTTAAACAGTTTTAAGTGTGGGTTGAAATTTTTGGTTTTCGAAGTGTCGTATTATTTCAGAACATTATGAATTTAATTCGTATTTACATCCACGAAGACTAACAACCATCATCAGCTGATTTGAAGGTCGTCCAGACGTTAGGTGAGTCTAATTAGAAACTAGTACAGTGCATTTACTAAAGTGTTTTACTTTTGGGATTGGTACTTCAATTGTTTGCAGTGGTACAGAGGAGACTGTTACGAGCCGATACGACCAACCGGCACTTCAATTAGCGGGGAACTGACCTTCGACATAATGTCTATACCAAATTCTTAAAGTGAACCTACTAAATTACAAATGAATGAGGGACACGGTTCAAGATAGGCGTGTTTTAGTTCTATTGACAGGAACAACGAATGCCTCAAATACTGTACCCTTCTCTTTGCTGAAATATCGACTAGTTAACTTCATAAAAGTGTGAATTCAGGTGTCGGGTCAGATAAGAAGTCCCTAATCAGGACCTAGGGTATGGTAATGTGCTGCTTGGTTGCGACTGTCCTACACCACAGGTGACGGTGGTGAATGATTTAGGAGTAATGGTGGAATCGTAGCAGGAAAAATTCGAAGATTCTAAAAAAATGCTGGTCTTAGTGTCACTTCATCCTTATTGTAAGCAAACTTGAAGTCACCTAGTTTAGAACCCGGGTTTCTTCTGTAAAAAGCCAGCATTTTTCGATCGAGCTGTGTGTTCCATTAACCTGCCACTTGCCATACAGTGGCTAATTGTGTTGATTAAATTAGAGTGATTTGTATTGTGGCTGGTTACTTCAGCTAAAGCCTAAATTAATTGACAGATGTATTGAATTGGTGAAGTTATAATAGTTTTAGGTCTAGTATATTTAAATGAACCTTAAATTAAGCTATGTGTATAGTCAGTGTTAGGTGATTCAACCTGCGGCCTGTCGATGTGTTTTTGTCAGGCTCGCGTGAGTTTTTGTAATATTATGCCACTCTGTGAAATACAGACACAATTACAGAAAAATGTAGTAATCAATACAAGTAACCAATTCACATATTTTGTTACAGAAAATTGTGTACTTGTGAACTTATTTTCCAAGATATTTTAATGAGCTGTTCTTATATATAACCATACGGCTCTCGAATTGATGAGAAAAATTGAATATGGCCTGAAGGTGTTGAGAACTATCACTTTCGTGGTTATTAGTTTGTTTTATGAACAACAATAAAGATTATGAATCAAATAATAATACTAATTCAATTCAATTCTTTATTTTAACGTGGTAACTCTACAGCTGGAGCCAATTACAGAGTCAGAACAAAAGAATAAAGTTAATACAAGAAGAACACAAACATACGTGAATAAACATGAATAAACGTAATAATTGGCATATTATTGAATCTAATTCCAATATTTAATTCCTTTATTAACGTATATGCCAACGGCACAAATAGCCTTTTACAGGCAGACACAGGTAATAATATTCAATAAAGTAAAGTTTGTCCCGCTATACGCCATGTAGGCGCTTGGGATGAGCGGAGGTATAGCTCCTCTCTTTCTTGACCTCGGCACTAGATGGGGTGAGTGGTCAGCATCACGCCCCGGCCGGCTTTACCCCCTGGTACCCATTATAGAGGAGGCTGGGTGGGCCCCAGAGCCGGTCTGGACGCAGAGGCTAGAGGAAAAAGTCCTCTGCCCCCGTCGCAGATCGAATCCCAGTCGTCCAGCCCGTAGCTAGTCACTATACTGACTGAGCTATCCCGGCTCATAATAATATTCAATTCAATTCAATAAAGTGCTTGACAACAGCCAAGTACTAACAACAATACAAACATTCTACACTAAATAATAATGCACTCACAGGAAATAGCGTAAACAGTTAAGTAATAATAATAATAATAATAATGGGCAAGTATAAGCTTTATTATAAAATGGTGTTATCAGGAGGAGTAAAGAATAACAAACCTGTTATCAAACATAGGTTTCGAGTGGTTTGACAGTCCTGATTTGTAGTCGGTTGGCTCCGGATTAGATTTCTCGGACCAGAACCGTGTTATCTTGAATGAAATATTTGCATTCTTCTGTGTTCCTCCAGGCCGATGTTGGTGCAACCGCACTCTGTCTGTTACCAATGTGGTGCTCAACTCCCAGCCGCGTGTGTTTAGTAATATTTATCGTTGCTGGCCTGGATAGTTTACAGCATGAATAGAACTTTGGCTCTTTAAAGCTCAGTGGATGCTATACGTTCCATCTGCTTTAACGATTTATAACTCTGCGTTTTTTTATTTATCGGTGTCTTTACGGTTCTTAGTGTAAACAGGGATTATTTCCTAAAAGAGAATAAACTTAATAAACTAGCTGATCTTTGTAATGGTTAAGGACTGTGTTTTCTTTACAATACCTAAATGAAATGGCATTATCATAGGATTCCTGTGTGCTGAAACATTTTCTCGTCGGATGATATATATGTCCATTTCGATAAATTGCGTTCTTGAGAGGATTCGAGGGGAAATATCGTCTCATTGGGTAATGTATACAAATCGAAATATTTTCTTATCGAAAGAGTTCCTCGTTGATTCTGTCGTTATTAGATGCTTACGTCTCGAGCGATTCTTACGAAGGACTCCTGTGACGAAAGATTGTCATTAAGGGATTTATACATTTGGAAAGATTCTCCTTTAGAGGATATATTCCTGTAGAATCGTTCTCTCTGTAGAGAATATCTTCGTAGTATCCTCTCTCTAGAGGACTTCTGTGCGTTGAAATATTCTCGTTAGAAGACTTAGATTCTCATTAAGGGATTTATACATTTGGAAAGATTCTCATTTAGAGGATATATTCCTGTAGAATCGTTCTCTCTGTAGAGAATATCTTCGTAGTATCCTCTCTCTAGAGGACTTCTGTGCGTTGAAATATTCTCGTTAGAAGACTTACGTTTTGATACTCTTATTGTTATGCATTCTGCCTTTCAGATGCGGGTTGTTAGAAGCAAATGCAAGTGGTATAATCTTGTGTTGGCTGTATCCAGCCTCCCAGTTCTTACAGAAACTTGATATTGTAGGGTGTGTCAAAATTTGTGTTTGTAATCTTGGGGCACATTCTGTTCTGTCTGATCGTATGTAATGGATTTTCATGATATGTGATTCTGAGAATGATTACTAAAATGTGTGGACACAGCGCAATATTGGAAGTCGGGCAACAGTAACGGGCTCTTACATTGAGACCTGTCTCCGTTTCTGCCTGCAGAAGTGTCTGGTTTGCGATACCCAGATGGTCTTGGTTACCATGGTTATATGGAATCCTCAGTCAACCGCACATCTGCGTGGGGAATCCTTCGTGATGACGTCAAAATCTGAAGCGGCAGGTGAAATTCACTCCGATTACGCAAAGGCAATTTTTCCCATATGCTAAGATAAAATTATGGCGAACGCGTGTTTATGCACGTGTAAAATTATACTTGTAACGAAGAATTATATTCTAATACTCATGAACATATTAAAATTTACTCGGAAACATGAAGTTTGGTTCCTGCGTCTTTTGTATTGCAGCGACAATAATAAATTGCCGTGCCTCGAGTAGGATTCGAATCCACGCTGTCAGTGTTCTAGTGGCTCTGCCTCTTGAAAAATGCCCATACAGTGGACTCCGCTTAATTGGGACAAATTTTAAAGAACAAACCTTTTTAACTCTTTACGTGGAAGTACACATAATTGGGGCAGCCGCTTAATTGGAACAAAGTTTTCAAGTCCCGATGTGTTCCAATTAACCGGAATCCACTGTATATTTTTATACATAACGAATTCCTGACCTAATTTAAAACAATTGTTGGCCCATGTGATTTTGTGACTGGGTTCAAAAGGATAAAGGACGATTCAAGTACAGACTACGTAACGTTTCGTCTCGTCTCGTTTCGACTTGTCAGCAATTTCTGCTGTCTGTACAGATGGCGCTGTCGGCACTACGTTTCGTCAATAACACGTCATCGCTTCGTTCCGTCGCGGTTTCTCCAGGATCAGGGTCGAAACGGAGACGCTGTGTGTGTGCTGTGAATCGACCTCAAGTGTAGTCGTAATTCCAGACTTTAGTTTAATTCATTAGTTTATCGACGTTCTCCCAGCTACGTATGTTTCATGGCGTCCAATGGGAGCATGACTGACTCATGATCGTTCAAAAAACCTATTACAATTCGTGTAGTCCGCTTTTCTGCTCATTTAGCTAATTGTCCAGTCAATTTCATGCTAACCTAACCCCAACCTATCCTGATTTGGCTACAACCTTGTTTTGAAACTATATCGACCGATAACTAGGCTCCGGCATAAATTTATTCATGCGATTGGGTACAATGATCGGTTTTGGAATAAGGCGTAAAAGTACGGAACGACTTTATACAGCTTCATTTTCTTCACAATTTTTACAGAAGATATTGTTGTTTAATGAGTCAATCATTGTTCTATTCGTACCTTTTATTTTATTCTTTCTTTTATGACTTCATTTATTTGTCCTTCTTTTCCTCCCTTCAGTTTTCTTTCCTTTCTTTCCTTCTTCTGCTTCTTTGTTTTTCTTTTCATCATACCTCTTCTTTACCTTTTAATTCTATTTGTCCTTCTCTCCCACCTTACTCTTTTACCTCTTATTCGTAGTCATCATCTCTTATTTCTCCTCTACCCCTTTCATCTTATTGTTTTTCTCATCGCTCCTTCCTCCGTTTATTGTCTCTTTGTCCGTCTTTTTTTACTTCTCTGCTTCATGAAGTAAATCTGTGAACCGTTCCGGCTTCTCGTCTTCTACTGTTTCTCTCTCTCGGTTTAAATAACACGATCCTCATAGGAATCCTATCCCCCATTCCCTGTTCATACTGCATCAACTTTTCTCTGGCCTATATTAAATCTTGTCCGTCTAATCACAATAAATTCTTATTAAATATTACAATAATTAACATTTAAAATATTAAATGATGTTCTTTATCGAAATATTCTATTTACATTAGACCATGATGGTTAATTATGTTAATTATTGTAATATTTTAATATTTAATAAGAATTTATTGTGATTAGACGGACAAGATTTAATATATACTTATTATATCACAATATGACGCAACTTTACCATCTTTTCTCTGGCCTTAAATCTTTTACTCTGTAAA